ACCGTTAGATCTAGCAACGTGTCTTTCAGTTTCCGAAGTCTGTTTGACTTCCACCTACTATAAGAGTAAAGAGCATTTCGTCTATGAGATTTAATTAGCGCCGCCAAAATCATAGTATTAGATGCAAATGTTATGTCTACATTTATCTTTCCATCTCGAGTCAGGCAACGATTGACAAGGCCGTGAATAGATTTTTTTTTTCATATTTTCATATCTGACCCTTAGGTCAGAATATCTTTCAAGAGCAACTTGAACCCATTAACAGACGAGAAAAATAAAACGTTAGGTAACGTAATCCCTTTCAAACACGCTAACTGATGATTCAAGCTCAAGAAGGTCACCTTTATAATTCGCTACACATATCAATTTTTTTTCACAAATAAATTTTCGTCTGTCTTTTGTTTCTCTGTTTCCTGTCGTACACTCTTTTTAGACAGCTGTCTTGTTTGGTACATTGTGTTCCTTGTGTGATTGGTTATGCAAAAATCTGAAGAGACAAGCCGTATAAATGATTTAAATCCTCTTTATTGACACTGGTGAATACACCCTCTCCCAGCTTCCTTGTCTTTCGACAGTTTTTATTTTCCCGAGCAAATATTGTGACACTCTTCCATCCTTCGCTTCCCTTCCGATACAAATCCAGCTTTCTCCTTAAGCGGAAATTTAAATAACTATGTTAATTGGGAGATGCCGGTATATTTTCTTTTTCGTACAAAAATATGGAAATTCATTTCATTTGTGATCTTGATTTGTAGTGTACCGGCTAAGAGTGAGAATTTGGATTCGACACTCAAGGATCATTAAATTCGTTTTCTGTTGAAAATTATACAAACTTACAACAGCGATAATGGTGAAAAACATAAAAATCAATCCTCAGAATTTAACAAAATTAAATCATAAGAATAATATACAGCCAATCTTTTAAGACAGGAAATTCAGGTTGTATTTTTTTACGGCCAAATTATTCCTCCTCCTCTTCCTCGTCAAATGAATCCTTAAATTTGCCAGTTTTCTTTCTGTATTCTCTGCCTTTACCCACAGAAGACCCAGCACTATTAGATTTTTGCTCCGGTTGAACGTTGTGGACGAGAGCTAGAACAGGAATTTTTTGAATCGTTGATTGAGATGAAGCGCTGCTCAGTGAGCGACCGTCCTCTGAAGCGACTGACGCAGTTTCCGGAGTTTTGGTCTTCGTCACCGAGGAAGCCGCGTCCTCAGTTGGTGCTTTGAAATATTGCCCTTTCTTCTGAACCGAAGACGAACTACAGAGTGGTACGATTAGTATGACACAGAATAATAAAGCTCCTAGCGGCACCAGTGCTGTTCCAACCAGAGTGAAATCGTCCAACAGTGTGTTGAACGAAATGGCAGTTTTATCCACTATCGTTCGAGTACCATCGCTTTTCTCCAAGTAAACGACTGATCTTCGAGGAATCAGGTAGCCGACCAGCATAAATGTAACGCCGATCAGAAGAACAAGAATTGAAATTACGAGCAGAGTCAGCGTCTTTCTGCTGTAAATTGAAGACATCGACGCGCCGCATTTGCACTCATACGGGCAGAGTTGTTGATCACCAGGCGTGTCTCCCGCGAACATATGATGATGTAAATAACGAATGCCAAAGCGAGATTCGTCGCGAGTTGTTTTCCCGCGCGACGATCTCGAGCGCGTCTTTCGAGTCTTTTTCGGCTGTGACATAACTATAGAACCGTGGGACTTTCAAATTATTATACTTTACCAAATCTTAGGCAAATAACTCGTCAAGATGAGACTTCCTCCAGTGATTTTATCAGCCAAAATGTATTTGACTTATTCCAGTCATCTTTACGAATGTTCGCCGCTAAAGTAGTTCTTGGAAATTAAGAAAATGTCATTTGAAGCCTTAAGGAAACCAAGAAGAAAAGCTGGCCTGTTGCTGATAATGTTAAAAAATAATTCCAGTTTTCTTCACGGGTGTGGATTAATTCCGAACTTGTCTGTGACTCTGTCAGCTGTAAAAGACTAAAAGACCTTCATTGGTAAATTGTGTTTATCATATATCCATGCGCCGAACGTAAACTCGTTCCTCGTCAGTTCAGAGATTTTCATTCACACCTACAAAGGTGTAGAAGGAGGCACAATGCTGTCGCCGGGTTTTTCGTAGTACAGAAAATAGTGGGTCACCTTTCTCTTTTTTTTTCATCTATGTTCGAATATTTATGCCGCCCTGGCAGTATATCTGAATAGACCATGGAACATGTTAATAGCTTTTGTTAGCAGCGATCAGCTGTTGAGTCGCTAACGCGTCAGTTTTCCTCCTAGTCGCGCGCATTTTTCACACTTCAAAACAAACTTTGACGCATTGTGATTGGATCATAATAATCATATTCTAAATGCAGCCTTAGGATTGGTCGAATATTAGATAAGACTTTCTGCTACATTGTACACGTGGCGGGAAAAAGTCCTCTATTGTTTTTGCGCAAATGATAATTAGGAGAAAGAAGATTTGCGTTCGAATATATAGGATTAGCGGAATGAGTATTTCATTTGCTCTGAATAAGAGAGGAAAAGTGTCCCTGGAACGACTTAACGCTCTAGAAGTGCTCATTAAAACCATTTTAGTGAGATTCTTAGCACATTTAAACTGAGAAAGTTTTTGAATTTTAAAAAAAAATTGAGTAAATAATTGAGAAAATACAATTTCGCACGCGATGTCACTGACCATTCCAAGCATCTAATTTGGCAAAGTTAGCGTTCGAGAACACATGATTATACTGGTAAATTGTATATCTAAATCATTTTTTGGACCAATATTCCTTCGCCGCACTGTGCACGAAACTCTTCACGCTAAGTTTTACAAACAAATACGATTTAAAATGTAAAGGGAACTTATGTAAAGCTAGACAGACCTTTTGTTCCAAGCCTTAGATTATAGTGGCAACATGGCCTTTTTTCATCGGTAAATTTACTATCGTTCATCATTAAAGTTTTCTTTGCTTGGTTTTCATCAACTCACTTCAAACAGAAAATTATTAGAAAGGAAAAATCACCTGTTTTCTCCATCTTCGACTCATTGGAGCTCATTTCATTTGATTAGATATCCAATAATGAATATTTTAAATAAAATCTCGTCTGGTTTTTTTTACAAAATGTGCACACGTTGGTCCACTGAAAGCGTAAGCGAAAAATCTCAGACTACTTCTAGTTCTCCAGATCATACATGGTACATTTAAGAGAAATAAACTTGTACTGTTTCCGCTTTTACTATTGGATTATAGAAAAATATTCCTGAATATGGCATGTGGCGATTAGTTGAAAGCGTCATTTCAAAGGATCTGGAGGCCTGGTCGCAAAGCGCTTTGCTTTGGTTACCAAGGAGACTTAGGCTGGAAAGCAAAATGGCGGACAGTGTGCAGGTTGAAGAGCCGCAACGGAGAGCTGTTGGAGGAATTATAACAACAGGAAGGATTCACAAAGGTATAAGTTTAGATAATTTATAGACTATTGATCGATTGATGATTCTCGAACGAAAATCAAAACTATTCGCGTTCGAGTGTTTCAAAGAAAAGTGAAGAATATTTTGCATGTTCGATCGATCAGGTGATTCATAGATTTTGGACAGTTTGACGAGGCCTTAGTTTCTTCGATTTTCTCTCGGTTGATTAAGGATAAAAAGTAAACACCAGTATGTTAAAAGCATTTTATCGAAGAATAGTTCAATGAACATCGGCAGTTTTTTTAAAGCTGTTGTTTATTGCTTATGTTCCCTTCTAATTTTTGTGCCATACACTTAAGTAATGTTATTATTATTATTTTCTTTTTCCATATTGAAAAGGTCATGGCAAAACAGCTGCATCGGCCTCTATCCCCAGCAAATATCAGACAATCGTGAGTGATAATTCAGAAAAGAAAGGATTCCTTTCTAGATCCAAACGCTTTGAAGGGTTTGATGCGGTAAGTGTGTTCATCTTTTTTAAAATAAGAATTACTGTTTTTATATATTTTGCTTAAGTCAAGTATGTAAATTGATATACCCGTAGCCGACACTATTGGTGCCCGAATACTTTCACATATAAGTTTGATCGTAATTCTGCTTGATGTGGATATGAGTGGTTGATCACCTTTTTCAGTCATGTAGAGGGTACATTCTTGTCAACACAGTTGCGAAATAATTATATGGAGAGATGGGAGTTGTGTCCTTTTGGAACTGAGAAATCTGAGTGGGATTTTGAGAACTGGGATTGGACTATGGCAGTTGGGATTAGCAAAATTAAATCATAAAGACTTCATCACATGAAAGACGCACAAGGTACAAAATGTACTGCTTGATTCCAATTTGAATTTTACGCCAGAAATTTCAATTTAGCTGCAATTGAGTCATTTACATTGTATAAACATCTGCACATGAAAGTAGTTCATATTCATGTAGGTCACTGGGACAGGAACATTTTTTCCCCATAGTATCATCTTATTGACATATAACCTCATAATACTATTAAAAGATGGACACAACTTTTCATCCCAAGGTAATTTCTTATTATGTAACCTATGCACAATCATTTCAAGGCTTTAACATTCTCTCCCTCCCCCTTAAATTGATCAACGTTTCGGTAGACAGAGACAGAGAGAGAGAGGAAAATGAGTTGAAATCTTGATTAAAGATACAATTTGCTAATTTTTGTGCAGAGTGTAAACCCAGGTCCTGGGACTTATGGAGAACTAAAATCAAGTGAAACTAGAAGCACTTCCTTCTCAAAGAAAGGATTTGGTGGTTTTGTTTCCAAGGTAAGTGCAAAACCACTAGAACAAAGTGTTGTTCAAATCTAACAATGCTGATTACACAGGCATGGCAACTTGTATTCAAGTATAGTCTTTCTATTTTGTAAGCGAAGTGCTTTCTGATCCTCATATTGAAGTTCCTCCTCCTGTCAAAACAAATTCAAACTTGTCAATCACCAGTTATGGGATGTCAAGCTTGTTATTGTTTTCCTCAGGCAAAGCGTTTTCCAAGAGGAGTGCAGAATACAGGACCAGGCCCAGGTACATTTAAGACATGGTCAGTGTGTCATAATGGCTTCCACCATGTCTTTAATAAAGTTTGATTTGGTGATTTAGTATTTCACCCTGACAAAGTTGATATTAACCCTTCAACTCCCAGAAGTGATTAACATGTAACTTCTCCCTGTAGTATCTATGCAATATCCAGCAAACAGGAAATAAGAATTATCAGACTTATCAGCTGGAAGTTTTAATCTTGATTCGGAACCTGATTGTCATGATTTATTTATTTACAAGGAGATGTATGGCAGCTAAAGGGGAGAATTAACAATCAAATCTTCGGAGTTAACCCTTTAACTCCCAGAAGTGATTAACATGCAATGTCTCCCTATAATATCCATACATTATCCAGCAAACAGGTGATGAGAATACTGAAACTTATCAGGAAGAAGTTTTTATCTTGATCTTGCACCAAATTCTTGTAACTAATATACTAGGATGTCTGAAGCAGTTAGAGAGGAGAATTAATAATCAGATCTTGAGAGTTTCATGGCTGTGGGTTAATTATTTTCAATAAAAATCATGATACATGTACCTGCCTCCTCTCTGTCAGGTTTTTATGATCCTTCAGTACCAAGGGAAAACAATTTCAACAAATCTTCTGTTACAAGGTATAATTGTGTAATTCTTAGTATTACTTGAATATTAAATAACAGTGAGCTATCAAAATTTTTATGGATAAGTAATGTTTTTAAGTACCGGTATAATACAGTATCCTGTATCTACTGTCAATCCCATCCTAGGAGTTGTTCTACATGACTGAGTAACACTTTTTTAATGGTGATCAATTTTCAGCTTTACTCTCTTGATCATTTGGACTTCAGTTAGTAACACATCAAGAATAAAGTCGACATGTATTAAATTCATTATTAGCTCTCCATTTATCATAACATCGATTTGATATCTTCCCATTCTCTTGTTACAGGAATTTTCATCTTCCCATTGCCCTTGAAAGAGACAACAAAAAAGGACAATTCCCTGCACCAAATCAGTACACGGTAACACATTTCATTCTAATTGTTAACCCTGTCATTCCCAGAAGTGTCTAAAGTGTATTTTTTTCTCCTTGCGATTCAATCAGTTAGCTATCTTGTTAACAAGGTATGAGACCAGAGAAGCTTTTCAGCTAGAGGGGGGTTATTTTGGAATAAGACAAAATTCTCCTAATTCACAAAGAAGAGTGTGAGTTGAATCTTGAGACTTAAATGTCAAAATGTCAATACTTTTAGAAGCAGATTCTACTTATGGCTCTGATGATCACACCTGATGATGACTCCTACTGGGGTTGTCAAAATGTCACTTAAAAACAATTCCTTTTGGACAGCTGCTTCACGTATGATCAAGTTATGTAAATTATAGACTAATTGAATGTACATTGTACTACACAATGGATGTATGACCACAAAGTGCTGGGTAACCTTGTAATTGAGAAATTTTTCAGAATTTTTTTAGACCACTTCATTAACATGTATTTAATTTATGGTCTTGTTTCTGTTGTGGAAGTTAATTACAACTGGTGAAATACAAGTCACACAATTGCAAATTGGCATAACCATGTAATCTTGTTTTTTTTTTTTGCACAACAGATTGGTCGCACAACAGGAAGAGTTGTTTATGATAACAATGTTGCAGCCTGTGCTGCATTTCAGTCCAGGTACAGTGTAGGAAAACTTAAATCTGTTATGTCATTAAGGTTGTTGGTTGAATGTTATAATGTTATTTTCCCTCAATTTGGATCCAACACTTTTAAGAGGAAATATGATTCAGACTCTCTTATCATTCTTTGTTTCTCCCCTCAAACCCTTCTACTTCTTCAAGACAATTCCATTGTCCTGTAAAGATTAACCTTTGTAGTCCCTTCCCCTTAAAATTTATGATGAACTTTCTTGAGCTGTACGAAAAGGGAGACTGACATCAAATATCGCATTCAATTTATGCATGGATCAACCGAAAAAACAAAAAAAAAGAACTGCCTACAGTATACACAATAAGAGAAGTTGATTTGGATGTACAGAAGCCCCACCTCTGAAAGAGATTGAAATAAAGATTAAAGATCACAAGATACACCTATTTTTTTCCCTAATAATAATTTACACTTTTGAAAATAGATCCAAAAGATCAAAAGACTGGAGTGCAGGAGCAATCTATGGACCATCTCCATGTAAGAAAGTTCTGTCATTATTTGTAATTTGTCCAAGGTTTTCATGGTTAAACTGAACTGTGAAACAAAATTGAGTCATGCTGCTTGAGCTAAAAGTTATGGAATTTATAAGCCATTTGGCTTTAGATGACTCAAATTATTCTTTAGCTCTTACTCTTTAAGAGGAACTTGAAAAATGTGTGCTGAGGAGTTTAACCCTTTAATCCCTAAGAGTGACTAGCATCTAATTTCTCCTTACAATATCACAGCCGAGTCAAACATTAAGGTCAGAAGAATAACAGATATGATCGCAAACTGAAGAAGCTCTTGATCTTCAAACAAATTCTTCTTGTTTGTATCATTATAGGAAATTTGTAGAGAACAGTATGGAGAATATGAAAATTTATGTTAGGATGTGAGGGGTTGAAAGGATAGTAAGGATAGGTTGATTATTCCCTTTCGGAAACAATAGTGATGCTGCTCGTTTCTTTACTATTCATAATTTTGCTACTGCATGTACACAATGTGTGAGAAACTGTATGCTTTGTGGCTATGTGGGCCTTAGATTTCCATTTACCAATTATTTATACTTCCACAGGTCATTACACAATCAATGACAAGCTGGTAACAGATTCACCCAAAATTGCCACTGCGCCTTTTAAGTCTACAACAGAGAGAAAAATGATGCAGTCTCCTGTACCATTCCCTGGGCCTGGGTCATACAAACCCTTTGGAACAGCAGAACGTCAAACACTAAAGCAGCAGCAACAGCTGCAGCAGAGTGGATTTCAGTAAGTACAGCTTGGGGGCACTCACTCACTATCCCTACATGTATATGATCAATTCAGAACAAAAGAGATGTTACAGGCTCTAAAGTGCAAGTGATCTACCAATTTTGCTGTGTTTGACACCTCTGAGAGCCAATCCAGAAACTTTTGAATTGGTGGTGTGTGACAAAGTTGTAAAAAACCTGTACCCTCAAATAATGTTTAATTCATGACCTAGTTCAAGGCAAACATTTGTCATAGATTGCGGCCTGTCAACCTTATGAACCACAACTGATTTGAGAATTTTCACAATACCATGATTTACCCAATAAAAGTTGTGTAAACCATGTGTTGCACATTCCCACACCCTGCTTACATTGGAAGATAGAGTGTGACCTATTTTCCAGGCTCAAACTGTTGTGGTCATGGCTGCATTTGAAGTGCTAGTTGCTGAATAATATTAAATATTCATTAATTTCCCAAAACAACTGAATTTCAATTTGGCTTTTTGAGTGTAAGCCCAATAAATGGTTCACTAAAATGTGTGACTGCATAAATACCTTGAACATTCAGAGGATAGAATCTTCCATGCACATAAGTTATGCATACTTTAATAACCTTAAGCCCAAACAGCTAAAGGTTTAATGGAGATGAAAAAACTTATTGCATTGTTAATACTAGAGAGATGAAGGACATGATGTCAAAATAACTTGTATTACTTCCTTAATCTTGCAGTAACAAGCACTATTTGTGTATCTCTGCACCTGCCATGCCCCTCCCACCCCTAGAGCCTATGCCAGGACCTGGTCATTACAATGTGGTTGACTATGAAGGCCCCCCTAAACATTACATGTCTGGCTCAGCTTTTGTATCAACAACTAGTAGGTGGTCAGGAGGGGCACCTGGAGAGGAAGAGGCCCCAGGGCCAGGTGGGTACATGTTATTTAGATTTGGCTGTCAATTCCTGTAAAGTACAAGAGGCCACATGGAGTGATCTGGGACTCTTGCTGTGCATCCTAAAGCTCTATATAGTTAAACAAATTCTTGTTGTAAGCACCCAAGGAATTGTATAGAGAACAGTAAGGAGAATTTGCATACTGATGTTAAGGTGTAAAGGGTTAAATGTCCAGTTGTTCACACTTGTAACATAAAACAGGTGGTGGTCAGGTTTGAAATGAGCAACACACTCTTACCAGTTTTTTAGGCCCTAAAAATAAGCCAGCAACTCATCTCATACAGCATTCATTTAAGTAGTGCAATGAATGTTAAAGTTTCGCTTTTTTTGATTGGTTTTAGCAACCTATCGACCACAGCATTATGGAAAACAGTCATTCATCTACAACTCACATGGAAGATGGATATAGCATTTGTTATTATTTAATAGTGAAAAATCCTATTTATATTATACTGTAAGACAAAGAAAACCAAAAGAAAATATAGTACTTCCTTGCTTAGGGTTTGATACAGCAAATTACACATAAAGAAAATGTAAAATCATGTATTAAAATTTTCTTTTTGCATAAAGAAAATTTTCTTGCAGTTTTCCCATCTTCCCTGGTTTAAAAGAGTATTTTTATCAATTGTTCATTCACTGTTTATAGATTGTTTGTACATACTTCTGAGACTGTATAATTTTTAAATGTGTACAGAAAATATATGCAACCTACAAAAAAAAATCTGGGTCTCAAAATCACCTTTTAATTTGACTAATAGGAGTGTCAATTTGAGTCACAAATATCAGTATTTGCCTGTGAATAAACATTTGGTATGTGAAAATTATTTTTGTTAAACCACAGTGCACAAAATTAGATTGGTTTTTCAAGTGTTGTTTGCAACATGTTAACGGTGTCACAGCTGTGAACAGTTTGCATGGTGAAAAAAACATTTTCACTCTTTCATTTTAGTCGAAACAGTTCTACTTTACCATGGTAAAGCAAACAAACCTAGACTCAACAAAGAGATGATATATCATGAATGTATTTTTGTAAATTAAAAAAAAAGGTTTGCCTTTGTACAAAATTGTATGTAATAAAATAGAAAGAAAATGTTTGCATCAGCAGCAATTCTTATATGCTACAACAAGGTGTGGGAGGTTTAAATTCCACAATAAATATGCTGTGTTAATGGGATGGTTTCTTTAAAGTATGATCAGGCAACTGTATTTCCAGGTAAGATTACTGCCTTGGTTGTGTACTTTAGAAGCCATATTAAACCAGTATGTCATTCATCAACCTGATTATTGGTGCTGCATGTACCTTTCTTTCAGGTTGTAGTAGTTTTTGCTACATGTATATGAATCACAATCACTAAGAAGAGTGCTTTCTGGTTTAAATCTTGGGCTCAAACCATTTCCTGAGGTCAGGGCTACACTTAAAAACTCCAATTGAAAGTTGAGGCTTGAATTATGGTATCACCTGTGGAAAATAACTCTAGTAATACAATAGACAGTCACAAAATATAAATTTATCATTAAAATGCCCCCTGAGTTTTACCTATCTTCATTAACAACTGTACACCTGGCAAACTTACTCCAGCCCCTTGAAACCCATAAAAAGCACAGAAATTGAGAGTAAATGACTTTTGAAGAATGGAAAGCAAATAATCTGCAGAATGATCTTCTCAGTAAAGATGAGTATCAAACCACTTCATAATGCATAAAATTATACATGAAATATTTTAATGTTGTTGTTATTGCCCACTTTAAGTAATTAAATATTTTAAAACCACCAAAAGTTCCTGTGAGATTAAGTTAAATTTTTGACCCTTTGACCCCCTAAAAAAGACTAGCATCTAATTTCTCCTTACAATATCACCCCTGAATCAAACATTAGGGTCAAGAGAATATAGGAAATGATCACAAAATAAAGAAGCTCTTGATTGTTAAATAAATTCTCCATGTCTGCACCTAAGAGTGTATACAGAACAGTAAGGAGTATCATATGATAAGGATCACTTTTTTTAATGTAATCTTATGAAGCATGCTGCTCTGCAGTGATTGGTTGGTTTCCAATGCTGTGATTGGCTTTTTTCCATTATCTGTAGTGCTGCAATGCATTCTTTATCCTTTGCTGAATTGTTCCCTTATCAGTTTATTTGTCGCCTCACAGTTCTCCTGTCTGTTGCTGTGTTTTGTGATAATGGGATCCATGCTTAAGTTATTTCAAAAAAATTTTCCTTGTGGATGTAGTGAGGATAAGCTCTTCCTGTCATTAAAAAGCCTCTTTGACATTGGAAATGTTGAGGGAATATCATAAACCACATTAATTTAATGGGTACTTAAAATGTTGGTGGTGCTAAGTGTCGTAAGACACTCTAAAACAACTGAGATCCTTAAAGATGACATCATTCAGTGTATGACACAAGCACACTTGAAGAGAAAGAATTCTGAGTGTTCCCAATAGGGATCAAACCTTCTGAGAGGAGACCATATGGGACTACGGGAGACTTGTAGCAGGCTAGGCTGTCAAAATAGGTTCATATCAACAAACTTTCTGCATACTGCTAGGATAGGAACATTGACACAAAGTTGATACAATGATAATGTAAATAAAGATGAACTGGGGTTCTGGTTGTGACTATGCCAAAAAGAACACCTCTTTCCTGCCACTTCCTTCGGTGTTCATTCCTGTCCTTCTTTGCCTCCCAAATGCTGCCACATATGATAATGAAATTTCTTCTTTTTTACAATTATCCATCATAACTTTAGTATAGTTTTGTTTTGGGCTTTTCACAATTCTCTGTTGATTCTGAAAAGAGTAATTGGTTCAATATCCTTGACATTACACTCTTAGCTATCCTAAAATAGTTTGAAACTTCTCTTGTGATAAAATAATCAAAATGACTGTGCATCAAATAATAATTCACTGAAACCATAATCATTAAAATTACTTTTCATGACCCTTTATTGTTTTTCTTTGGAGCATTTCTCACAGAAATTTTACAAAAACAAGTCAGGTTATCCTTGGTTCACTTATCGAGCCAACAAAGTTAACAAAAAGTACATCAATATAAAATGTGTTTTTGTAATTTTACACTTATGATAGTGACTTATGTATAGTTATCATTTTAAAGCAGTTTTTAAAAAAATTTGCACAGTAAATCTCATATGTGAAAAAGGCTCTTGTAATGGTTATATTTAAATATAAATGAAAATTCCACTCCCTTGTAATCAAACAAACATGTAAATTGAAACAGAAAATAGAATGTAATTTCATGATCATACCAGTTATTTGGGTAATACTGCAGCTAAAATGATTTGTTTTAACCTTCCTTATCAACTTTAACCTGTCTGTTTGCCTTGATCAGTAGAAGATGATTACATAAAAGATCAATTGAGACTGCAGTTAATGAAGTTATTTTGAGGAAATAGGGTATTTATAGGTTTGTGTCCATACCACCAAATTGTAACACAATGTTATGTCAATTGTAGGTTTCTGTTGGGGAGTTATATAAAGAGGTAAACATTTAAAGATAAAAATATGTGCATAATACCAATAAGGATACTAATGGAATATCAGTTAGGATTATAATAGCAATACAAGTCATGCAAAAACAGCTTGGCAAACCATAACAATCTATACCAAAGACACTCATCTGAAAAAATCAACAATCCAGAAAATTGGCAGCCATCAACAACTCCAGTGCAATCTCTGGGGCAATGGGAAATTCTGGAATTTCTGTGCTGCTGTTGGTGTATCGTACTTTGTACATGAAATAAGTACACACTTTGGCCAGCACATGTGAACTGTAATAGAGTTATCTATTGTCAGTCATAAAACATGTCATATGTCACACTTATCAATTTAAACCAATCAACCTTAACAAGGATAGAATACAGAAACAAAGGCCAGGCAAAGCACTGCTTTAACCCTTTCCCTTCATAAAGCCATATGTGAAAAAGCATACCTCTAGGAAAGAGATCACAATCCAGAATGCTGGATATATATTACTAGCCATGATACAGCAGCAAGGCAGAGGTCACAGGTTCTAGTCCTATGCCACCCTTGTAAATACCCAACTGTTTTATGTCCCACACTTTAAACATCCTAACTTTGGTGTGTTTAATCTGAATCACTTATTTAGAAGATTTTCTGCCCTCCTCCCCCCTCCCCCAGCCTTTGAGCTGTGTCCACTAACAAGTATATAATACTTTAGCGATTATACTTTGTCTGTTGTATTTCTTAAATAATGCAGTTCCAACCAGTGGCATATCAAATGCACTGCAAAATTCTAGAAACCTGAATATGCATTCCAATTGTCCAAAATAGCCACATTGATTACTAAATAATAATCCTTATAAAAGTAAATTATTTACTAAAAGGCTTATTTTAATTCATTTGATAGTGCCTTTATAAGGCATCTTTAGGGAACTTCTTAAAAAGGTGCAGCATCCAAAAGAAGTTTGCCATAAGAAAGATAAATAGGAACAATTTGGAACAAATCTATAGGCAAAGCATTGTCAATTATTAAGAACAGTGTATCAGAACCTTAACATGTGGACGTCAAGGGTAATTTGAGCTATAAAACCCTCCAAGGGCTATTACATGTAGTGTTAAAGTATAGGTAATAACTTTATTTTGAGTGCAATTTGGTGTTAATAAGCAAAAGTAAATTTCAAGACAACAAAATTACATGAACCTATAGGGGCAAATACAATTTGCAGTCTTTGAAAAATTTACAAGTGCTTATTGACACCACATTGCACAAGAAATCATCTTATTACTTGTTAATAATACACATGAAAAAACATCACAATAGTCAAGATAAACATAAATTTTGACAGCACACGCCATTTGTAATTTACACCTGTGTTACAACTTTGCACTCATGTTACATGAGAATGCACTCGTTTTCAGCCAATCAATCAGACATGCATAATTTTTTCATGTATATTATAAATACCCCTAAAAATTCCCCTAATCATAGTTATACAAGTAGCTAGATTTCAATAATTTGATAGTTATTGATCCACAGAATTTCATTCCACATAAATGCAGCTACCATAGACACTTCTGCTAATGACTGCTAGAGAAGACAGTATCACAATGGTATTTACAGTGGGCAAAAAAGTCATTGTAGAAGACAGAGACTAAAAGTTTTAAGGCACCACATATTTTGTACTTACGGAATCTCTCTGAAGTAAACTTCATTGGTTTCATTCTCTGAAAACTGGCCTATGTGAGAAACAATTGAGTATAACAACATCTATTAATTTTCATGTTACATGAAATTTGTATTTTGTTATTTAGCAGTTTGAGATGAGGTACACGATTCTATGAAGGTAATATCTCTCTTGGAAATGTTATTTTGTTATTTTGAAGTCCTTAAATTCTGACATGGTTTGATGCTACTCTGGTTTATGGATTTAATGAATGTAACCAAAGAAGTGATGGTGGCTCACTTCCTGATGCCTATTTACCCCTCACCAGAAAAAGGCAGCTAATTAGTGATTGTATAAAAGGACCTCTTGTTGTAGCGTGTA